CCTTGGGTTGGGTTAATTTGCTAGAGTGGCTCACAGAGCTCAGGAAACGCTCACGTTGACCAGTTTATTAAAGGAGGTGATAAAGGACATGTATGAACGGCCAGATGAGGAGATAAACACAGGGCGAGGTCTGGGAGGGTCGCGAGTGCAGGAGCTTCTGTCCCCGTGCACTTGGGGTGCGTCACCCTCCCCGTGTGTGGATGGGTTCACCAGCCTGGAAGCTCTCTAAACCCCATATTTTGGGATGTTATGGAGGCTTCATCAGTAGGCATGATTGATCCTTAACTCCATTTTCAGGCCTTTTTCCTTCTCCAGAGAATGGGGAGTGGGGCTGAAAATTCCAAGCTTCGAATCATGGCTTGGTCTTTCCAGTGACCAGTCCTCATCCGGGAGCCCACCCGGAGTCACCTCACTAGAAGAAAAGAAGCTCCTATCACCCAGGAAATCACACAGGTTTCAGGGGCCCGGTGCCAGGAACCAGGGGCAGAGACAATGTATATTTTCTACTATCTCACAGAGACCTTAAACTATCTGATCTCAAGTCCTACTATAAAGTTTCAGTAAAGAATACAGTATATTTTGGTCTAAGGACGAAGATCAGTGGAACAGAATAGAGGGTCCAAAAGTAGACCCACACAATGTAGTAATTAGATTTTAACAAAAGTGCCAAGGCAATGCAGTAGAGAAGAGGATAGTCTTTTTAGCAAAAGGTGCTAGAATAATGGGATGTCCGTAGGGATAAAAATGAACTTCAACCCATAACTCACATCACACACAAAAATTACTTCAAAATACACCATAGATGAGCATGTGAAAGCTAAAGCAATAGAATTTCTAGTGGTAAACAGAGGAGAAAATCTTCATGACACTGGGGTAGTAAAGTTTCTTAGGGTGCAAAAAGTGCAAGCCATCAAAAGGTAAAACTTCTGCTCTTCAAAAGACACCATTAAGAAAATGAATAGGCAAGTGACGGACTGAGAGAACATATTTGCAATACATATGTCTGACAAAGACATTATTTTTCTTTTCTTTTCTTTTTTTTTGGTGAGGAAGATTGGCCTTGAGCTAACGTCTGTTGCCAATCCTCCTCTTTTTGCTTGAGGAAGATTGTCACCGAGCTAACTTCTGTGCCAATCTTCCTCCACCCTGTATGTAGGACACTGCCATAGCGTGGCTTGATGAGCAGTGTGTAGGTCCACACCTGGGATCTGAACCCACAAACCCCAGGTCACCAAAGTGGAGTGCACGAACTTAACCACTATGTCAGCAGGCCAGTCCCTGACAGACTTTTTAATTCAGAATGTATAAGAAAAATTCTTACCAATTAATAAAAGATTACAAACAACCACATAAAAACATGGGCATCAGTAGTTATCAGGAAAATGGAAATCAAAACCACAATGAGATGCCTCTCCATTCCTGCCAGAATGTCTAAAATTGAAAAGACTGACAACCTTGAGGTCACGTGCTGGGTACTTGGTGGGCTTGAGGGCTCTCAGCAAAGTTAGCTCACCCCACTGTGTCTGTGAAAAGGCAGAGCTGGGTCCTGTTAAGGATCAAGCTAGAGGGAAGTTAAAATCATTTAAAATATATCAAAATCAATATAATACACCATATCAATCAAGGAGAAAAAAACACATGATCATCTCAATTGACACAGAAAAAGCATTTGACAAAATTCAGCACCTCGTCATGATAAAACATTCAATAAACTAGGAACAGAAGAACAATTCCTCAATACAATAAAGCCCACATATGAAAAACTCACAGCCAACATCATACTCAACGGAGAAATACTGAAAGCTTTCCCTCTAAGATCAGGAGAAAGACAAAGATGCTGCTCCTGCCATTTCTATTCAACATAGTACTGAAAGTCCTAGCCAGAGCAATAAGGCAAGAAAAAGAAAGAAAAGCATTCAAATTGGAAAAGAAGAAGTAAAATTATCTGTTCCAAGATGACAGGATCTCACATGTAGAAAACCCTTAAGATTCCACAAAAACACTGTTAGAGCTAATAAATGCATTCAGCAAAGTTGCAGGATACAAAATCAACTCACAAAATTTGGTTGTATCTCTATACTCTGACAACGAACAATTTGAAAAGGGTGTTAAGAAAACAGTCCCACTTACAATAACATCAAAGAGAATAAAATACATAAGAACAAATTCAACCAGAGGCAAAAGACATGGACACTGAAAACTATGAAACACCACTGAAAGAAATTAAAGAACACCTAAATAAATGGAAGCATATTCCATACTCATGGATTGGAAGGCTTAATATTGTTAAAATATCTATACCACAGAGTTATCTACAGATTCAATGTAATCCCTATCAAAATCCCAATGGTGTCTTTTGCAGAAATAGAAAAATCCATCCTAAAATTCACATGGAATCTCAAAGGACCCCAATTAGCCAAAACAATCTTGAAAAAAAGAACAAAGTTGAGGGCAAGCCCAGCAGGGTAGCAGTTAAGTTCACGCACTCTGCTTTGGCAGCCCAGGGTTCGCAGGTCTGGATCCCAGGCGCGGACCTAGCACTGCTCTGCAAGCCATGCTTTGGTGGCGTCCCACATAAAATAGAGGAAGATGGGCACAGATGCTCACTCAGCAACAACCTTCCTCACAAAAAAAAGAACAAAGTTAGAGTACTCACATTTCCTGACTTCAAAACTTACTAGGAAGCTATAATAATCAAGACTGTGTGGACAGGCATAGAAACCAATGGAATAAAACGGAGATCCCAGAATAAACCCTTGTGTATATCGTCAACTGATTTTTGACAAGGGTGCCAAGACCATTCACTAGGGAGGGGACAGTCTTTCCAACAAATGCTTCTGGGAAAACTGGATATCCCCCATGCAAAAGAATGAAGTTGGACCCTTACTTTACACCAAATTATACAAAAACTCAAACTGGATCAAAGAACTAAACACAGGAGGTAAAACTATAAAACTCAGAAGAAAACAGGAAAAGCTTCACAACACTGGATTTGACAATGATTTCTTGGATATTACAGCAAAACAACAAAAGAAAAAAATGGGTGATTCAACTTTATCAAAATTAAAAAGTTTTTCGGGGCTGGCCTGGTGGCACAGTGGTTAAGTTCACATGTTCCGCTTTTGTGGCCCGGGGTTCGTCAGTTCGGATCCCAGGTGTGGACATGGCACTGCTTGGCAAGCCATGCTGTGGTAGGGGTCCCACATATAAAGTAGAGGAAGATGGGCACAGATGTTAGCTCAGGGCCAGTCTTCCTCAGCAAAAAGAGGAGGATCGGCAGCAGATGTTAGCTCAGGGCTAATCTTCCTCAAAAAAAAAAGATAACTCCAAAATTAAAAAGTTTTGTGCATCAGAAGAAACCATCAAAAGAGCAAAAAGACAACCCACAGAAAGGGAGAAAATATTTGCAAATCATATATCTGATAAGGAACTAATATCCAAAATATACAAGGCACTCCTACAACTCAACAACAACAAAACAAACAACCTAATTAAAAAATGGGCACAGGACTTGACATTTCTCTAAAGAAGGTATACAAATGCTAAGAAGCACATGAAAAGATGCTGAATATCACTAGTCACCAGGGAAATGCAAATCAAAACCACAAGATACCACTTCACACCCGTTCAGGTGGCTATTATCAAAGAAGCAGGAAAGAACAAGTGTTCATGAGGACGTGGAAAAGTGGGTATGCTTGTGAGCTGCTGGTGGGGATCTAGCATGATGCAACCGCCGCGGGCAAGCTTGGCAGGGCCTCATGTTCAACACAGGCTCTCCCATGAGTCCGCAGTTCCAGCCCTAGGGATGCACGTGAGACGTGAAGCCAGGGACCCAAACAGACACTCGCACGCCCGCGCTCGCGGCAGCATTAGTCACAACAACCTAGAGTTAGAAGCGACTCAAGTGACTATCACGGTCCAAGGAATGTAGCATATCCATACAATGGAATATTACTCAGCCTTAAAAAGGAACAAAAATCCCGATAGATGCTACAACATGGATGAACCTTTAAAACATTCTTCTAAGAGAAATAATGCATGATTCCGTTCACGCGGGAAAGAGAATAGGCAAATTCATCCAGACAAGGGGCACGGAGCTCCCCAGGGCCGGGGAAGCAGCGCCAGCCAGGGCTAGCCTTAGCGGGCACCAACGAAGTGAGGGGGCAATGGAGGCTGGAGGTGGGTAGTGGCGAAGGGTGTACACTGCGAACGTACTTAACGCCACTGAGATGTACACCGAAAAATGGCTAAAACGCTAAGATTTATATCATGTATACCTTAGCACAATTTAAAAATATATACATAAAAGACGATCTAAAAGAAAAAAAGCAATTTGGACCCAAAAAGGCCTTTGTGAGGGCCCGGCCCACGGGGAGCCGGGTCGTGGCGACCCCCTCCCCCGAGGCAGGAACTTCAACTCCCCGGCCGCTGAGAGCCCTGCGGGCGGCGTCCCCGCCGGCGCCGCTCCCCACGTCCGGCGGGGAGCCCCGCACCCCCGGGGACGCCCGCGCGGCCCGGTTCGCGTCTCAAAGATCGAAGAGCGCGAGCCCGGGCGTAACGCAGCCGCCGCAGGGGCCGCTTCACGAAGGAGCCGCGGCGCGTCCGCCCGAGCGCCGAGCCCGGCCTCGGCGGTGCGGCAGCCCGCCCCGCGCCCGCCGCCGCCTGAAGCGGGCCAGCAGGCCCTGACGAGGGCTCGAGCCGGGCGCTTCGCGGGCGCGCCGTCCCGCAGCGCGCGCCCCTCTGCGCCCAAGCCCTCTCCGGCGCTCGGAGCGCCCAGCTGACGCGAGGGCGACGGCCACGGCAGCCCCACTCTGCGCAGCCAGGCCCCCGCCGCTCCCCTCCCTCCTCAGACCCAGCCCTCGCGCCCTGTACGCCGCCCAGCCCGCTCTCGTGGCGCGCGGCCGGGCGCACTCCCGTCACCCCCCGCGCCGCGCCGTCCGGCTGACCCGGCGTGGGGGCGCTTGCGCGGCCGCACACCCAGAGCTCATGGCGCAGGCGCGGTCCGGCTAAGAGGCCAGCGTGGGGCGTGCCCGGAGCCGGCGCGGGGTCGTACGGGGCGGCCGCGCGCACGCAGGGGGCGTGGCTGCGCTGAGGGATCGGGACCCGAGCGCTGTGCTGCTCTGAGCCGGCGTCGCTGACTTGGACCCGAGGGTCAGTGGGCGGCGGGAACCCGGGCGGCCGGCGGGAGACCCACCCTTCCATCCCTTCCCGATTCGTTGTCCGCAGAGAGGCTCTTGGAGCCCCGACTTGGATCCCGCCGCGGGCTGGGGCTCCTGGAGCCGACTCAGGCGGCTCCCGCCGTCTCCAGGTCGCGCTCTCTGGACTCACGGCGGCGGTCTTGTTCCCCACTTTCTAGGTGGCACTGGGACTCGCCGTCGGAGGGAAGCCATCTGCACTGCCTGGCCGCACATCCCTGGACCTTCTTCGCGGGCTCCTCGCGGAGCCGCAGGTAGGTCGGCTTCTTACGGCGGCGGGGCTGTGAGCGCATCTCCCCGCGGTTTCCTGCATGCCGACTGCGGGAGAGGGTGCAGTGGGCTGCCCTCCGCGCGCTCTAAGGCTTTGGGCAGGTTAGTCCACTCCCGGTGCCCCGGTCTCCTCGGAGCAGAGAACCCTCTCGCGTTCCAGGCGCTGCCTTAGGCTTTGCGGAGGCCAGTGCGCCTGCGCCGCGGTACCTGCTCCGCGAGTGGCGCGCTGGCGGGTCCAAGAAAAGGGCTCCAGTTCCTCAGCACCAGGCAGGGTGGGGAGAGAAGCGAGAGAGTCCAAGAGATCCTCCGGCACGGAAGGGCCAACGTCATCCAAGTTTTGAGAGTGAAGTCCAGGCTTACGGAGGTTCAGACCCAAGCAGGGCTGGCTGCTTGGCTCAGGGGGAACCTTCTCCCTGAGGCTGCAGGGGGCACAGAGGCATGAAGATGACTGGGCAGGGTGACAGCTAGGGTTCTGAGTGGGGTGGGAGGTTGGGGCTAGGAGAAGGGAAGGCAGAGAGCTGTGTAGTGCACTGGTTTGTGGGCAGGCAATGTGGTCTTTGCCCGCAGCCTGACACGTAACCTCAGATTGGTGGTGGGAGCTGGAGTGCTGTTCCTGGTTATTACTTCAGCAGAGCTGGGTGAGGGACTGCCCTAGACTCGTGAGTGGACTGCATTCATGTGCTGCTCCTTGGGCCACTGCTGCTAGCAGGCCCTAGAATATTTTTTTCCTGTGTTGGGATGGGAGGGGCTTTCTCGTGGAAGATCCTCTGGAGTGGGGGATGTACCTGCGAGGTTCCAGAATGCGTGGGTGGCAGAGGTAGGTGCTGGTGGCCCTGGCAGCTTTGAGTGCTGTGGGCAACCCTGGGAGGTGCTGGGCGGAAAAGCCAACAGAGTCGCATCGCCCTGGGGGAACTCACTCTGTTGGGGTAGATAAACACATAGGAAACTGTGTGTGAGGGTGTGTGCAGGCCGCGGTGCCCATCAGTGCAAGCTGATGCAGCATTGGGGTATGTGTGGAGGGCTTGCTGGGAAAACTGCACGAGGAGGGGTGAGACAGGGAAGGTTCTGTGGAGGCCATGAGCGCACCTCTTTGCAGAGAGACTGGGAAGGTGGCTACAGTCAGGCTAGGCAGAGTGTGAGAGCCCCAGGAGAGGGCTCCCTGCGCTGGAAGAGAACTGTACCTGCTGATGGTCGCAGTCTCCTTTCCACGTCAGCGCTCTTTAGGCAGCTCACAGTTGGCAACCACTGCTCTTCAGGCCCTTTGCAGGAGTAACACTGGGGTTGTGAGAGAAGATGGCAAGCGAGGGTAACCTTGGGGGTCAGGCTGCTGTGCACGGGGTGCAGGGAGGTGGCTTCCGGGGAGGGTGGCAGTGCCTGCAGGCTGCACTCGGAGTGGTGAGGAGGGTCTGGGAAGCATGGCAGGGAGGCTGGAGGGGAGTAGCAGGGCCCCAGGCTTCTGTCAGGTGTTTGGGCAGCACCTGCCGTGCTCCTGATGCTGTGTTGTAGAGGGATCTGCTGCTGCAGTCTGTGTCCTCAGCAGTCACAGCATTTGGGGCAGCCAGAGCCACCTCCTCAGTGCACTGTGAAGTGTAGTAACCGGTGTGGTGAAGTGGTTAAGCACGTGCGTTCCAGAGCCGGGTTCTGCTGCCTCTGCCACTTAGTGGTTGGTGTGGGGCCGCAGACAAGTGACTTCACTCACCACTCTGCCGTGGGGGCGATAAGAGTAGCAGCCTCATCAGGGTGCCACTGCTCAGCGCGGATGGAAAGCTCAGTAGAAGCTTACTGTTTTTCTCCTCCTGAAGTTCCCTGACAGTCAGCCAGGATGTCCAAGGAAGCCCAGGGGTTTCTGATCAGGCCCCCTTTTCTTCTCCTGGGACTGACAGCATCTGCCGTCACACCGTGCCCTTGAGACATCACAGGTGGCATTTACCTGCCTTCTTGAACCTCTCAGGCCGACCTCCTGGGCCTTCTTCCAGTCGAGCTCTTAGCAGGGCACCAGGGATTTGCCTACTTGTTGCCTCCTCCTGCTACCCAAGTGGTGATGATTGGCCCTAGTTCTCGCTCTTCCCACCTTGTTTTCGGACAGATTGCCTCGGATGGTGGTGCGTCTGACAGTCCCATCAACTCTTCTCAGCTCTCCTGAGGCCGCAGCTGTCAGCTCCCCTGACCCTCAGCACTTGCCTGGAATGCCGGGGTCTGCCACGCCCCTCTTCAGCCCATCTCTGTTCCGTTGTGTCTTGTGTGCTGCTCCTGCCCACCCTCCCCTCTGCACCGGCTCTCCCTTCCTCCTCCCTTCTTGTAGTTGGTGCAGCAGCTGCCTCCGCTCCCAGCATGCTTTGTGGCCGTCACCGTCGGCAGGGTCCTTGCAGTGCCATCCGGGCAGCAGCCACTTAGGCCAGTACACACTCTTGGCCACAGATGGACCGGGCTTCCCCTGGGGTCACGTACACTGCCCTTAGTGGACCCCTGGATTGAGCGGCCCTGCTGTGGGGACCTGTGTGTGTGCACATGACCATGGAACAGGAGAGCACACCCAGTGATGTTCCTGGTGGTAAGCCCACAGAAAGGGGGCCCCCGGCCATGTGCATCCCCGGCCCATGGCCCCTTGGGGTGGATTTCCAGTGGGTGGCAGGCTCGGACTCAGGCACCTTTGATGGCTCCCCATGGCTGCTGGACAGCTTTTTGGCTCAGCTGGGCGATTACATGTCCTTCCAGTTCGAGCAGTGCCAGGACAGTCTCAGTGGCATCTGTGAGACCCTGGTGCCTGACGGGCTAAGCCCGGGCATGGACAGCCCCATACCTTGACGGGGACCTGCCCCTGCCTGACGCTTAAGAGCTGTTTTGCCAGAATCTGGAGGAAATTATTCAAGACCCAAATAATTTGGCTGACTACCATGTTGCAGTTCCCTGCTCCCTGCCCCCAGCCTCGAGCTGGCCCCCTGTGGCCCTGCAGCTGCCTGGAGTGAGGCAGTATTTAGCCAGGTTTTTGGAGGCCTTGGCACTCCACATAGGCGCTCCCCCCAGGCCTGTCCCAGCCACTGTGGCCACCCCCGCTATTTCTAGTTCCAGTTCTCTGTCCAAAATTGCTCTGTCTGAGCAACAGCTGGCCAAGGAGATCAGCCCTGGGTCGACAGACCCCCTGCCTTGTCCAGCTCTGCGTGCAGCACCCATCCTGGTCTTGTAGGGCCAGTCTCTTCCCAGCCAGGGGAGGTAGCCCCCAAACCTACCCCTGTACTTTCAGAATCTGTTAACCCCCTGCCCAGAAACCAGATCCGGCTCACCCAGGGGGTCCAGAACTCCAGAAGAGAGAGGAGGAGGTTTCTGAGACAGGAGACCAGGAGGCATCCTTAGGTGCCCTACAGGGGTGCCCTAGGAGGACCACCATTTTCTCCTGCTCTCCGACTCACAGCCCTGGATTCTGAACACAGGCCAAGCAGGTGCAGCAGTGCCCCTTCTGATGAGCTCCACAGCCCCGTCAGGACAGAGTGGTGCAGCTGGATGCCTCTAGACATCGTACACCAGGTGTTGCCCTGTCCACCTGCCCTGTTACTGGGCACAGGGTGCATGTGTTTGGGCTCTGCCCCGTCTGAGCACCCACAGCCCTCGTCATCTCCCATGTGCCCTCCCCAGCGCCCCAGCAGAAATTTGGCCTCTGCCCTATGCCCTCCATCCTCTGGCTCCCCCAGGGGCCCAGAAGCTGCCTCCTGCTGGCCTCTCAGCTGCATGCCCACACCTCCCTGGGGAGTACCATCTCACCTGGGCCTATTCCCACCAGTTGGAGAGGGTTCCGTAGATAGTCCCCATCAGGTATTTGTACCATCTTTGTAAAGCATTGCCCATACTCAAAAACACCGCCTTCAGTGCTGGCTGGGACTAGGCTGGGTCTGCTGTGCTGGCGCTCTTTGAATCCGGTCCCTGGATGGTCTCTGCTGTGGCTCCCGTCCCGTCTCTGCTCTCTGTGGCCTCTGCCCTCTGGCCTGGAATTTAAGGAAGCCTGCGTGGGGGACGCAGCCACTTTCATCGTTGAGTATGAGTGGGATGGCACCTTGGCAGAGAAAGATGCTTCCCTGTGGGTTTACCGGCAGCCATGGCCAGCTGGGGCGGCTTACGTGCAGGAAGCTGGGATGCAGGTCCTCTTGCTGGTCTCAGCTCTGTTCCAGACGTTTTCCCCTTCTGTATGTTAACATCTAGCCACACCTGGTTTTCTTCAGCAGTTGGCATGAATTTTTACGTCTCAGGGCCTTTGGCCGTGCTGCCCTCTCAGTTTATGCTGTTCAGCAGTCCCAACCTCCCCCTCTACTCTTAAACATTGCTGATTCAGCACTTAAGCCCCAATGCTGTAACACCCGTAATCCTTGTATCTCTGGGTAGACTGTGAGCCTCTAGTGCAGGGGTCCTTTCTTAGTTTTGTGTCCCTGGTACACAGTCTATGCTCATTAAATGTGTGTTGGATCCATGACTGAGTCTGTGGTGTGGTGGCTGCAGACAAGCAGAGTCCTGGTTCTGTGGGCAGAAGCAGTGTGCCCATGCTGTCAGAAGCAGGCTAGGCCCAGCCACCATCATGCCAGGTCAGTGTCACACGTGTGGTTTCTGGTCGGGGCTTTGAGGCTCCAGGGGTCTGGTTGGAGGAGTTGGGCTGAATGGGTGGGAGTGGGAGGCTTGGCAGGTGGAGTGTGGGCTTGAGAACTGAGCAGACCAGAGCTGTGAGGCCCCAGGGGCAAAGGATTGGAATGAAGAAAGGCCTGTTCTGCACAAGGAAGGGTTTGCTAATGATGAGAGCTGAGCTCGGAAGCTCCTTCAAGCCAAGTGTAACACAGGATGGGCACAGTGCGCCCACTCAAGAGGGGCCATTAGGCAGGAATTTCAAGCCTGTTTCAGTTTTCCAACTGTGGAAACAACAAAAGAACACCTTACTGGATAGTAGGAAGAAAAAGTAAGAAATGTAGTAAGTTCCTAAAGCTTTTTTTTTTTAAGGAAAAACAGTAATAAACATCTGGTAAAAAAAATTAATAAAAATAGACATTGTTGGGGTTATTTAGTAATGGTCACTCTAAAAGGCTCTGGGTTCAGGTGGTTTTATGTGTGAGTTATTTCACGGCACAGATACCTTACACGTAAAACAGTGCAGACCTTGGAAATAGGTGGGAAGCTGATACAGCCTCCGAAGCAAGAGCTGCAAGCTGACAGAAGATGCCAGCGTGCAGTCTTGATTCTGATCGGATGGAGGCAGTCCCTGGATGCACTAGCCCAGCCTCAGTGCCTCTGCGGGGTCACACTGCTGCTCCTCTGTGCTATTGTTCAGGTGTGGGCACTGCTTTCGCAGGCTCAGGTCGGACTGCCGCCGCGCTCCCCCCCAGTGGTTGGCTGTGGCCTGGCCTGCCTATATGGGTCTGGTATCATTGGTGATATCAGAAGGGTCCTTGTTTGAGCCGGCAAGGCAGCTCTGGCACTAGACCCTCGAGCTGCTCTCTGGGCCGTGTGGCCCCGTAGACGCCCTGTGTGCTGCTGGCCTCTGCATGGGCTGCCTTTCCCGTCTCCATTTAGTGGACCAGGAGTAATTCCTTCAGCTCACGGCTCTGTTTTCCCTTCCTTCCCCCTGTCCTCCTGGGGCCTTTCCTCCCCCAGGCCCCAGACGGCTCCTGCAGGCTTGGGGTATAGTCTGGCATACCTCCTGAGGGAATTTGGGGAGAGACTGGATGACCTGTTTTTTAATTTGGAAAATGGTTCCTATTGTGCTTGGGCTCTTACCACGAAGGACGGGAAAGGAGGGCCAGGCCTCAGTGGCAATGGCAAGGTTGCTTGTTCTGTGTGTCTGCACACATAGGGTCAGGAGAGGATGGGAGGGTTCTGGCCTGGCCCTCCAGACAAGCAGTGCCTACAGTATTGTGTGAAGTGACAGCTTCATCTCCTGCTGGCGCTGTGGCCTGCCTTCGGGTAGATGTGATGATGTAGCTGCTTTCACACTCTGGGGGAGAAGGAGCAGAGGGCCAGGAGAGGAGGCCCTGCCATGTGCTGTGGGAGGAGGGCCCTTGGGTCATAAACTACTCCCGGCTCTCTGCACAGAGGTGGACAGCCCAGAGGGGGGCGCTCCTGCAAGTGGCATGGTCTGGCAGGGTGGTCCGGCAAGGTGTACCACATGTGCTCAGGGACAGGCCGAGGTGCTGGGGCCTGACTTCCAGACCATTGCGTCCGTCCCTCACTTCCCTTGGAAATACCCGGAGACTGATTTCCTAAAGATCAGACGCGGCACCATGGCTGGATTTTTAAAACTACCTGTCTCCAAAGAAAGTTCTAACACCGGAAGTGTTGAAGTCGATGTCAACATTTATAAAGCTGGTAATAATGAAGGCACCTGGCAATTGGTGTGGACGGGTGAATAGAAGAGAATAGAGAACTTTGATATAGAGCCAAATATAGGGATTTAGTTTATGCTAAAGGTGGTGTTTCAAACTAATTGGGTAAGATGGATTATTCACTAAAAGGAGTTGGGACAACTGGTTAGCCATCTAGAAAACAGTAAAGCTGTTCCCCTACCTCACTTTTTACACCAGCCTTATTCCAGGTGGATTAAAGATTTTACCGTGAAACCAGAAAAGGACTACAGGGAAATATGGGTGAATTTTTTTTCTGCCTGTGATTCCAGGACTTTAAATGTTTTAGATGCCTGGAATTGCTGAAGACGTGGAGAAATAAGTTTTCTCCTGCTGCTGCTGGAGCATCAGGTCCCACAAGCCACCCACATGGCATTTGTAGGAGGCAGACGCTGACCTGACCCCTTGCCCACGTGCAGATGGCCACCGCTCGTCCTGCGTGTGGGCTTTAGAGCGTGGACTTGAGCTCGGACACCTCACCGCCTCTGCCCAAGCTGCCGGGCCTGGTGTCACCTGACCTCTCTGAGCAGTTAGAAGGGTTTGTCCTCAGGGCGGTGGGAGAGTTGAATGAGATAACAGGGTGGAGTGGCCCGAGGCTGGTGGGGGGCACTGCATTATTAACAGCAAAACTGGGAACAGTGCAGTTTCAGGGATAAGGAGTGAGGTCCACAGCCCTGTTGTGTTACCCCGTTCTACCAGTCAAGATGTGCCAGATTGTGCTGCAGTGACAAAAACCTCTAGCATCTCAGCCACTTATCCTCACAGATCAGTCGGGTGCCCTCTGTGCACTGCAGTCCCTCAGGGACCCATGCCATCAGGAATTCCGCTGGACATAGTTCTCCACAACCACAGAGGCAGGGGGAAGACCAGAGTGAACCACCAGTGATGTGTGTCATTCCCCTTCCATTCTCATGGCCAAAGGAAGCCACCGAGCCACACTTGAGTTCCAAGGGATGAGAGTGGCCAGTCCTACCCTGGGGCACTCTGTGTTAGAAGAGCGAGTGTCCACTCACCAGGACACCACAGTACAGCTGTTGAGGAAGTGGGGGCGGGCCTGAGTCGGTTCCCGTGGAAAGATGCCTGAGTGAGTCTGCTGGGGCTGCGTGACTTGAACAATGGAAGTGTATTTTCTCACAGTCCTGGGGGCTAGAAGTCCAAGATCAAGGGGTCCACAGGGTTG